ATGTAGTATTTTCAATAAATTGGCAATTTTATCAAATGCTGCATGTCAAACACCACAATGTAAGATACAATTAGAATCTTATTATATTAACCTACATTTCTGAAAGAGCTTCAGATCCATATCAGATTTTGCCATTACATTCTTTGCTATTGACATTATATATTTGCCTGACAAAAAAATTGACTTTTTTTATTCATGAGGTAGGCCTACTGCTTTAGAATTATAGATTTAAAATTAAGTCACCATATACAATACATAAATGACTAATGTATGTAATGAATTTGAAGGGCACTTGCAAGTTCAATAAAAGCCACAAAAAATATTTCCTTCTACTAGCTCGCCTTCCATTGTAACACGAGAACGTATTATAATCATTTGCCAGAAAAGGTGATTTGTCGGCAGAAAAAGTCTCATTTCCGGACTCTGGTAAAGAAAAAGAGGTTAAATCTTGTTCTAACATGTAGTAAATTATTTCCTTTAAAACATTGTATAGTCTGGATCCATGTTTTGTGGGTCCTTCTTACTGGATAAGCTATTAGCGGCCAAACGGGTATCTGTCTGTTTTGTTAGTCCGTCTGTGGTCAACGCTAGTGTCTAAACTGCTCAGAAAATTTTGATTGATATTCCCAAAATTGATATTCCCCCATCACTTTAAAGTAACTCGAGGTGAGGTTGATTTTTTGGGGCACTCGACATGAAGCCTCGATTAAATCATTTTCGGAATTTTCTGAAAAATGTCTTCAATTTTGTTTACAGAATTTATCATCAAATTGTGAAAAAAACTCTTAAAATAATGGCACAGGTCTCAATTTCTTTGAAATTTCTGATTTTACAAAAAAAGTTCAATTTTTTGCAGTGGTACACTTTTTCAAATATATCAATAATTTTTACATAATTTTGTGAGAAATTTGGGCAGGTATTAAACAATTATTTTCTCTAAACTGACTAAGAATTTTTCTAAAATGTTTTTTCTTTCCATTTATTTCTTAACTTTTCCTAGTTTGTATCAAAGGATGGTATAAAAACTGACGGCATTTCTGGCGAATACACTGTATTTTCAAAAATTCAAAACTAGAAATTTGAAGACAGACATTTTTGTCTTTAATAATATTTTTTCTAAGAATTGTATCTTATTAAAGGATTTCTTTTTTTTTCGATAAACAATGCAGTTTTCGCGAAATTTCTGCTTGAAGTTAATGCACATGAATAAAAAAAACTCCAAAACAAACCCTCCGATTTTTTCTTTACATTTTATGTATGAATAGAACAAGGGACCCTTAAAAGTGTGGCAATTTTGTAGAACTCTGAATTATCAAAAATTTGTTAAAGTTAGAAATAATATGAGAAAGCATGTGCTATTGGAGCACCCGTAGTTACAGCTTCTTCACAATTTGGATGGATACAATCTATATTTCAGGTGATGTGTTATTTCCAAACCCATTACTTGAATGTTTCATTAATATTATTAATTTATTTGCATAAATTGGTTTTAAATTTGTGTATGACCTTATGATGACAAAGGAATTATAAGAATCTCTTGAAAATATTTTTTGGTGAGACAATGTCATTGCTAAATGATTTAATTGTCTTCCACTAAAGCCTTCACAATTGCATAGAAGTTATGTAGAACATTAGCAAAGTCAAATAAACCTGATTAAATGATGAGAGTATGCTAAATAAATTGCATAAAAGGCTGAAGAAATATTCCTTTTTTTCATAATATAAACATTCATAAGAGTTTATCCATATGATGTTATATTTCATTTACTTGCATAAAGATATATTAATGTATTTTATGTCAAATGTCAAAAAAAATGAGTGAGTAGGTTTGTATGAAATAATTACTGCAATATTCTGTGATAAGTTATCAAAAATTTATTCGATGATGTATTATGTACAGATTATTATAGTACAAACCGTGAAATTGAAAACATGATACAAAGGAAGTAAAGTGCAAGCATAAAGGCAAAACTGGAGAATTAAAAATTGAAATGGCAACATGACTTTTTTTATTCTTAAAAGTTTCTTATATTTTTTGTAAACCAACTTATTCTTTCATCTTGAATTATGGAAGTTTGGACACATAGGCTACTGTTTTTACTTTGCTTGTTAATAGTTTGTTAAGTATGCAAATTCTGGAGCGGATAACATCTCCCCTGCCATGACAACTTTATAAAGTGATTCCTATCGGTTTATGTGTTATTTGATGCTTGTATGTGTGTTAGTGTGTTGGCGTGTGTGTGACATATGCAACAGCAGTGTCAGAACTAGAAACCTACAAGCTGCCGGAGGAAGCTACGTGGAGCAGAACTGCTGGGGCATACCCTAGGAACCACTCGGAGTGCTCCGGGACATGGCTCCACAACCAGCGAGACATCAGCTGACAGGATGTAAGGCTAACTTAAAATCATGTGTTCATGTTATAGTTTCATTTAAAATTTTCCTCTCAGTACTGGCAGATTTATAGCTCTTACTTCAAGACTTTTTTGAAAAGTCGTTGTTTCAATTTTTTATATACATATATGTTTCACAACACATTATATGAACATACAATACTGTAGAAACAACTATATTATTGTATGCTTATATCATGCATAGGAAATATATTTCCATATCACTATGTAATTGTTTGCTTGAAAACAAATAAAATGCAACAGGTTGGGCACACACCCATTTGTCAATAAACTGGAACAGTTTTTATTTCAATTTTGAAGCAGATTGTTATCAAATATACACAATGAATGTCGTTGAAGCATAAGCTTAAGAAAAAATTTCCTCTTTTATTGAAATTTGTATTTTTAATATTTAATTCAGATTTGAAGGTTTGTAGGTTACATCATAGTGTTTATGAAAATGTTTATAGTGTACTTGTGTGTGTTTGCTTTGTGAGTGTGTGCACCAAACTCATCAGGTTGCCACATGAAATATATTAGATGGAATGCATTAAGTTCTATTTAATTAGATTTTTCTTTCTTAACAAAATCAATTAGCTTATACTTTTCTTACTTCGGCATCTAGACCAGCTTTGCACCGAATGTTAAGTACTATGAAATCTACATTAGCCATAGTATACATGGCCACTGCAGTTCCGTACAGAGAAGAAGAGCGAGTGACTTCGGCTGGCCTGGGCTAGCCCGGGCCAGCAGCAGCACTCTGACATATCTTGAAGCTTCAACAACATTATTATTTAATATTATCATTTAATTATGATTATCTTAGTAGAATTAACATCTCCCCGTCTCTCCCTCTCTCGCTTTCATTCACACTTTCACACACTTCCACTCGCACTTGCCAACCACCACATAACATTGTGCTAGAGAAGCATTTCCTAGGAGGAAAACTGCTTGAAACAGAGTTGAACTCATTTAGAGAGCATCACAGTTGTCAGCAGCAATCTAACCGCACTTATCATGCATTTGTGTTTATTTTCTTTTTGTAACATTGGTTATCATGTGTAAAAAAGCTATGCAGAACATAACAAGATTTCTTGTTCTTTTCAAACTTTGAGCAACAACTGTTATTTTTTAAAGCCTGTTATTTATAATTATTCTCAATTAAACATAATGGAAATTTGGTGATACATGAAATTTTTTTGTCTTTCAATCCTTTCCACATACAGTAACCAATTTGTGCATAACCAGTATTTACTTATACAAATATTCTTTAATGGTTTGGGTGCAGGCGTGATGCAATACAGCTTGTGTCAATGTATAGTAACATTTGTCTTCAGATAATGCATTTATGTATTTACATGGTTAACACTAGTTGATTGTTTTCATTATATAAAAAAAATACTTTGTTACGGACATCATATTGCACTAACTGGACTAACTGACAAATCACATATTTGGCAGCCATGTTGCAGGAATTTACAAAGCTCTAGAGCAGACTTAAAGCCATTCACATTAAGAGATTGGATTCTTTTCAAGAAGCCAGAATTATGATCAATGTTGCTCACAAAGACACAGCAGAGACTGGAAATTGTTTTAAAGAAAAATTGGCAAAAATTTTGATTTCTAATTTTGGTCGTGCCTCTCGGTTAAGCCCTATATCCCATGTTGTTTAAATCTCATGAACAAAGCTCATTATTTTGGCCTTCGATTTAACCTTATGGTAGAACCATTATTCACAGTTTTTAGAATGTAATGTAAACTTATACAGCACTCTGATAAACAGTGAATAAGATGCAATGAAAATTCTCAATCTTTGTGTCCTTAAAGAAATAAAAGAGGACCAGGGGATTTCAATATTTTTGTATAAAAGCCACTATATAAAATTTAAAAACATCAAGCAGATGAAGTCAAGTTTGTTTGGTAAAAATATGTTCTTTCATCTGCTGTTTGTTTTGTAAAAGTCAGAAAAAATTTAAAAGGGCAAATATGAAAACTTCCATCTGACAGGGGTCTTTGGAACTGCTAAGGCAAGACAAGTCTGGAAAGATCTGGATAGAGCCCTCATTGCTGCACAGCAGGGGAAGAGACAGTTGATGTAGGGCTGCAACCAGAGCTTTGGACAAGTGTTGATACACAATTTTAAATCAAGTATCTAATACTTTCTCTTCTCATACTATTTTCAACATCTGGAAATAACGTGACACAAACATTCAGAATATAGTTTAAAATATTGTTCAAAAGTGGCATTCAGACATTTTACTCCATTATTTGAGCTACAAAATTATTTGTCACTCACTGTTTCTCAGATATGCAAAAGCCTACAAAATACTATAAGCTACAAGTTTAATCGAAGGTTCTGGGCTTTGCTATATAAGATTGAACTGCAAACTGCAGGAAATTTCCTAGTAGGTACCAAAGCCCTTCTCACAACAGGAATTGTCAAACGTGAGTTTTCTGAAAGGTAGATGTTTCTCCATTTACGGAAAAACACTCCAATTAATGCTTCACGAATCACTTCAATGATTTGTGAAGGGAGTTTTGAAAGGCATCCACCTTTAAGACACTTGAAATGTACTGGGAGAAAACAAATAAAAATACCCCCTCCCATCACCAAATATTGAAAACATGATTTTCAATAGGTTCATCCATGAAACAGGGCAGTGAGTAGGCTACTAGACCTTGTGCAATAGGAATGTTCCACCTGAAGAAAAAACATAACATAACATAAAATTCAACATTTTAGTTTCTTTAGAACTCTGCAACACATTTGCACGGTTTCCCCTGCAGACAGTGGATGGAGAACTCTCCTGCCACAGCCCCGTCTTGTTCCTCAACAGGCTTCAGGATGGAAATACAGTATTTATATTGTTACACCCAGAAGACTTCTTGGCATAAAAAGGAAAACTGTGTAGAAAAATAACAAGTGGAAAACACGACAAGAGCTTGCATAAGGAGAAAAATAACAATAGTGTCCCAGTCCTGATTTCCTCAACTTTTAAAAAACACAAGCAACATGCACATGTCTCTTCAGCTAAAGTTATTTGGGCCATCATCAAAGCTTATTTTGTGCTCCAATGATAATATTAGCAAGAAAAATAAACAATCAATACAAAAATAATTAATGTGACGATAGTCGAGTCCACACGTCCAGTACAAAGCTTGGCTGTTTCAACAGAGGATACTGCAGCACTGGCAAACTGGATAATTAATGGAATCAATTGAAAATCGTCTTGCAAATGAAGCACATGTTCGTGTTCTTGTTTATAACTATAGTTTTCAAGAACCGTAACAAGCTGATGCGGACAATGAGGCAGCGTATCGCGAGAGGCCACTGAACTCCGCAGCCGCCCCTCCCCTCCTTAGTGCCCTGGTCCCGCGCATCGAGCGCCGGACCGGAGAGTCGGAAAAAGGTGTCACACGCAGACAGCACAAGAAACCGAAAAACCCAAAGCAAGCAGTGCCGGCCGGCCGGTGGATGGCGAGGCCGCCGCCGCAACCGTCGCCGCCGCCGCCGCGACCGCCGCCGCACCGCGCCGCCACCGCCGCCGCCGCCGCGCGCCCGCCGCCGCGCCGCGCCGCCCGCCGCCGCCGCCGCCACCCCGCCGCCGCGCGCGCGCCGGGGGGAAGCGGCCAGCGCGCGCGGCCGGCTGGGCGCGCGGGGCGCGGCGGGGCGGCGCGGCGGCGCGGGCGGGAGCGCGGCCCTCACGGGAGGGGGCCGCTGCGCCAGTGAACGGAGGGCGGCCGCCGCCCCGCCTCAGACGTCCGCCGTCCGCGACGCGGCGCTCGGCGGACGCGAGCGCGAGTGGATCACCACCTTGTGGTCCGTTCTTGGTGACGAAGCCGTCGCTCTCGACGAGCACGGCGGTCTGGCGCGCGGGGTCGTCGGCGTCCGCCGCTCCCGCTGCCGGGCTGGGCGCGCCGCCGCCCGCAGCAGGGCGTCCCCGCCGCCCGCGCCGGCGCCGCCGTCGCCGCCCGCGTCGTCCGAGTCTTCGCCGGGCCCGCCCAGGCGCGCCTGCTTGTGCTTGCGCCACGCGTTTTGGATGAGCCGCGCGCAGTACTCCTCGCGCTGCCTCCACAGCGTGGACGACACGGGCTCGTAGCCCACCTCGTCGGGCCGCGCCTTCACCTCGTCCAGCTCCCCCGTTTCCTCGATGGGGTTGCCCTTCCGCGCGAAGAAGTCCTTGGTGAGCGCGTCCAGGATGTCCACGCAGAACATGAGGTCGCCCTTGCAGATGGGGATATCCATCGACACGATCTTGTACTTGTTCGGCTTGTGGATCTGCAAGGGCGGCTCCAGCACGTCCAAGAAGTCGGACAGCTGGTCGTAGCGGATGTACTGCGTGCCGTCGGGATCGAAGTTCTGCCAGATCTCGTAGTACATGTCGTAATCGTCGTCCGTCAGCCCCTCCTGCACGTCCTCCGTGGCCTGCGAATGACAGCGTAGCGTCAGCCATAGCAAGCACTCGCCAGCCAAATAACCCAAGTGAAATATTACTTCCTATTGAACGTTAAGTAAGAAAAGTTCTGCTTTCAATTCGTAAATGTTTCTCTATATTAATCTAGTAATTTCCGTAAAAACGTACCTAAAATGCCTATACAAACTTCACGAAATCAGCCATCAAATACTATTAATAGTAACTTCTACAATGTCTAGGCCTACAACACGTATTTGGAAAACACTGCTGTCAATTCTCTTAGTCGGTTTTTCGTCATTAATATTCATGCATTTAATTCATTTAAAATACTCTTTACTTTAAGAAACAATAAAAGTTTATGTATTTAAAGCGTAATAAATCTTCGAGCTATCGGCGAGATTGATGAATGAATATTCGCGAATCACCTTAGAAGAAACCTGATGCACATGCTCAACATCAGACGACTTCCATCATCATAAACGAGTAGGTCCGTGAATTCAGGCCTGGTTTGTTCCTCAAAATTCGATTTTCATATTTATTTGGAATAAACTATTCTTATATTCAAAATTACAATGCTTTTTCTTCAATATAAGCAGTGGGAATTAGGGAGTATCATTGTGACAGTCTAATAAGCATGAACTAATAACACTGATTAACTGACGGAGGTAGGCATTCTGATTGGACAGGTAAATTTCTGGAAGCCCCTGCAATGTAACATTTCATAGCAAATAGTTGGACGTCAATTGTAAAACAACCAGACTAATTTTTGTAGAAAATGTTACTATAATATAATTCACGTGCAAGAACGTTAAACCGACATGAGCAGTACATTAGGTGGTCTCTTTTAGTGACTTTTCTCTTCATTATTACAGTGAAACCCCTGATAATGAACATCTCCTTTATTTCATTCTAATGCATTTTCTTGTAATGATAATCTCGTTATAAATCAACAGTATATTGTATTTATTAGGGTAATCACACCATACCCTATATCTTTTTAGACAAAGAAAATTCTAACCCTTTGAAAGTTTGAGTCAGGGTTCTTTTCTTGGCAAGTCGCTGTGTAACCGCCTCCTACGGGCCGTCGCGCCCACCTACCTGCGAATAGTTCTCCAAGATGACAGCGATGTACATATTGATGACGATGAGGAAACTGATGACGAGGTAGGAGAGCAGGAAGGTGATGCCGATAGTGGCGGAGCCGCAGTCGCCGGGGGAGCCGATCTCGTTGTTGGGCCGCTGGCAGTCCTCCTCGTTGATGATGCCGTCCAGCACGCCGTCCCAACCAGCTGACGTCGACATCTGCGCAGCGGGCGGCGTTTGCGATTTCCACTCCCCCCCTCCCCCCCTCCACGTCCACCTGCTCGACGACGAATCCGAATCCAGTTGTTGCTCGGAAAGAACGTTCGTCTTTCGTTCGCGGAATAAACATAGATACTAAAATAAAAACCTGAATCTGGCAGAAGATTGAAACGCAATATTAACGTCTTTTAAATTTAAAATGGCCTTTTTGTACTCATTGACATTTCTTATGAAATTTTAAAAAAATGTCATTTTCAAATTTTGAAGCAAAATACCGTGGCAAGCTACAGGAGGAGGCAGGAGTAATTTTACCTTACTGAGTGATAGAGGGGTAGTTAAAGAAGCAAAGCATTTTATCTTTACGAAAGTAGTTAATGTTTGATCAGACATCGTTAGGATGAGGAACATGGACGAATAGTTTCACTTTCTTCCGTTTGTATCAACGTTCAAGCTCTTTCCGATTTTACTTGGAAGTTGAAGTTTTTGTAAAGTCGAGAGCAATCTAATTACTGCAAAAGGAATAGAAAAGCTGTTTTCCATATCTAACGTAATTTTCGTCCTTTTTCGCAGCGATACTTGTAGAAAATGCTGAGTTGGATAATTGCTTCGTAACCAATTGTAGGTTTACTCCTCTCTGAACTTCACTCACCGTATTAACTGGTTTTTTGAAGCAGTCAATTATTTTAATACCGTTGTCAAAACTTAGTTTTAGCTCACCTGGAAAAGCAGGATCATGGACTGTCCGAACGTCTGGAAGTTGTACACGTCGTCGATGCCGCTCTTCTCCTTGACGTTCATGAAGAAAGACATGCCGAAGATGGCGAAGATGAACATGACGAGGAAGAGCAGCAGGCAGATGTTGAAGAGCGCCGGCAGCGACATGGCCAGCGCGAACAGCAGCGTGCGGATGCCCTTCGCGCCCTTCACCAGGCGCAGCACTCGGCCCACCTTGGCCACGCGCACCACGCGCAGCAGCGTCGGCGACACGAAGTACTTCTCGATGATGTCGCTCAGCACCAGGCCTGCGCACCGCGTCCTGCGTCAGCCGCGCGCCCCGGACGACGAGGCGGGGCGCGGGCGTGGCGGGCGGGCGGCGGCGCGGGGGCGGTTGTACGGCGGGCGCGGCGGGCAGGCGGGGCTCGAGCGACCGGCCGCCGGATGCCGAGTATTCGGGTGCGAAAACCCCCCCTCAAGATTCAGATTGCCGGGATTTGGAGCGCCACCGACAGCCACTGACAGCCCCCGCGCCCCTCATGGAACGGCCGTGCGCGTGCCCACGCTGGGCAGTCACCGGGCGAGGGTGTGCGTGCGTGCGTGTGCGTGCGTGCGTGTGCGTGTGTGCGGGGAAAAACTGAAACTGAAATTGTGTTTCAAGAGCCAGTGCAAGTTTGACTGGCAAACTACAAAAACATCAGTGTTAGTCTGTAAGTTTAGATTGTAAGTGGAAGTGTGTGTAAGTATTGTACACAATTAGTGTCTAATGTAAGTGTTAGTATGTAACTTTATATCATAAGTGCAATAGTGTGTAAAAAATGTAAACAAATAACGTAAAATGTAAATAGTAGTCTGTAAGGTTAGTATAAGGTTATGTTTAATATCTAGGTTAGCACCCCCCCACCAAATGTATACAAAAGATAAAAAATGATATAATGACTTGTGACAGATCATCGGCTGGGCGCGGTTATCTTATCAGAAGCTTCGTAACGACTTCAAGTTTTGGTATTGAAGCTCTCGACTAGATAACCGCATCATAGCTGATGATCTGTCATAAGGCTCTATATTTGAATTGAACACAAGTCTGGAGGAGTTGTTTGTTATTTGTCTAGCGCCAAACATCGGTCTTTTGTGGCACATCGACGGAAGCATATGTTCGCCAAGCACCTCGGCTTCTCGGGGACGCGAGCAGTCATTCTCCACTCACCGAACGCCGAATGAGCGGAACCGCCTCGAGTTCAAGAGCAGCGCTATCTCAAGAAGAAGTGAGGAGAGGAAGAGGAAACACGGGTCAATTTCCCTCCAGCATCATGTGATCTAAGACGCCGTGGCTAGCTCTGATCGGTTGCGAAGCCTTCCCGTGAAAATTCGCCCACACTTCCCTCAGTCGCTTCCGACGTTACCAAGGGATCATTCTTTTGACATCGTATTGGAATGCCTTTGCAATTCTTTGCGCACTAGGTTACTGCACTGGGTTCTGTGGAGTGTCGTATTAAAATTAAAACACTTACGAACTTTTCCCATTTATACGATAATAATATAATCTCTTGGAAGAGTGTAACCAGCACTTCCGCCTATTTTTCCTTCGTGAATCGCCTCTCAGAATCACCAATTGCGGTCATTTTATAAGGTGTTGGCAAATGGTATTGTCTTCTACCATAATCGCTATTACCCATTTTCTCAATCTTGTTCCATTATATATTGAATTTCCGCCCTCTTTATTTAATTCATTTGAGTAGTTATAATATTGTTACGTTATTGTATCGATATGCAATGTAGTTGCCTGTAACATGTTTATGGTTAAACTAAAGACCAAAACGGTAAATAGTCAACTCAAGAGTATTCTCTAAAATCCAAAAATCATCTCGCACGAAAAATTTAAAACTCTTGGATTTATGGCTATCTATAAAGCGAAATTTTGGGAAATAAGGAAAACCAATAATTACAAAATGTGAGTGATGAATTACAGTCTTAAGTCCTAGGTATTGAAAAAACTGAGATTAACAAAACAGAGTAGAAATGATTACGATAGAAGGAAACACTTGCACTAAATGACAAAAGACTTGATTGTTAAATAAATGCTTGAGTATGATCTCCAATACAACGAATGGAAAAATGGAAGATAGATGAAATTCTGAATTTCGAAATGGAGAAGTCTGTACTAGAAAAGTACTTTCACATGACATTTGGGAGAAGACCGGGAACTACTGTAAATGAGAGATATGTCTAGGTTGGTTTCTATCTCTGTTTATGGTATGTATTTTAGTACGAAAGGATTAAATACATTAAATAATTTATTGTTTGGAATTATATTAATCACTTTTGGCAGAATTAAGTGCAATAAATTTATAATTCATGAATGTAATAATATTATCAAAAAATAAGTACACTCTTCTTGTCCACTGATACTGTAATTGCACATTTTGCTGTAGTCTTCCGAAGCATTTTCATCAAGCAGTTGATGCTGCCTCGCTCCCCGGAAGACGGAGCCGTGGTTCGCTCACCAAAGTAGCGCAGGACTTTAGAGAAATCGTTTTCTTTGTTGTCTTATCGACGACAAGAGGTTTTGCTATTTCTTTTTAAATTTCTTAATGTAGCTTCTCTGTATAGTTTTCTGTTCTTTGTACCTATTTCCTCATTTTTTTCTCCAAAGAAAATCCTCCTTTGCGTGGAACTTTACGATCAATAATAATTTTCCCCTTCAATTTCCTCTGCACTCAAGGAACTATAAAAAATACATACTTATCACTACCGCAAACTCTTCAAATTTGCATAAGAAAACTTAAAATTAACAGTGTTCTTATGTTGGTACAGTAGCAATCGTACGTATTGTGTCAATTTATGAATCTATCATCTACAAATCTACCAGGAGTTGGACTTTTCTCTTCATCACTCTGTGATGAAAGATCATGTGTTGTCAGGCAGAATTAACATTGACCTGAAGAGAAGCAAGGCACTCCGACGAGGCTGATCTCGGGCAGGCCTCTCTAGAAGGCTCGTTGTGCGGCATAATTGTCCGACTAGTCGAATTTAGTTAAATTGCTTAGCCAACTGAATACTAGATACCGTATTTCACTACTATACTACCGTATTTTTTTGGCTAACTCTGGATACTCATTTGCATAATTCCCTGAAGAACATTTCTGATGAAGACTGCATCTGTGCCCCAGGGAATCTCAGAGCGCATTACTTTCATTGCTCATTCTCTTCTCCAGTGGCGAGGCGCCGATGTCAAAACAAAGTTACATAGTTTCAATATTTTAGAGAAGAATTTGATATTAGAGAAAAGTCTATGATAACAATAGCATTACAGCTGGAAAATAGCCATGAAACAAGATGAACGTAAAGGATTCGCCAATATTAACGCATATAATTGAGAGCTCGTGGCCGCACGCGGTGTCCCCTCTGGCCGCTTAGTGCCGTATACCTTTGCACTCCAGTCATCGCTGGTTTCGTAGAATCTCGGCTGTTCCCAGCCATGCATGGTGAAAGGTGCCAATACGACGTAGTATGAACTGTGAGGGAAACGGTGTATATTGTTTATGTGCGTCCTGATTGAGTGCTTTTCCTAAGTTTTATTTTGTTTAATTTTTTTTATTATTATTTTAGATTTTGGGGCTGTCATACACTATGATTGAAAATTAAGGAATTGTAGTTTAGCTGAAACAAAAACTAATTGGTTCACTTACAACTGAAGAGAAGCTATTAATGTATTGAAAATTCAAATTTTTTGAACATAAAATGAATTTTCCTCTTCATAACTTCGATTAAAATATTTTTGAATCACTTGGATTTAATATAACTGTTTTTTTAATAGAATAGCAACATTTTAAGGCATCTCAATGAAAACTGGTAAAATTTTTGAAAGAAAAAAATGTTGACTTCGTACCTATTTAAGGAATCATAGAAGAGAATGAGGATTTCTACAACAGTCATTTATAAATTTCCCATTGCAATAGGATGGCTTGACTCTAGGTATTTAGTAATGTAGCATATTTTTATCTTATAAATTCATGATTGTCAATACAATGGTAACATGACAGCTTCTAAATGTCATGATTTATTTTAGAAGATAAATTACATTTCTTTAACATTTAAATAATTTAGAATCTAGAATTCATACCAGATTGTTCACATGATAGTGGTACAAATGAATAGCATTGCTTAGGATTACTTGATTCTTTTTTACTTTGTCTGTATTTGAATTTTCAACAATATCTTTAACTAGTTTATTTAAGCTTGGTAGAGCTATCCTGAAGGGCTGTGTTGCTTTGGAGAGCTTTCCCAGCACTGATTAGCTGATGTTTTATGGCAAGACAGAGTACAACCCCAACTGCAGCACATGGGCTTGTGATTTGCAACTTTTAATCATGTTGACACTAAGCCTGTTTTTTAAACACCATCTTGACTCATGGCTGGTGAGTTCAATTCATGATTGTTTGGAATATCCATTAGATGCGTGGAATACTGAAATGTCAGCAACTACTCAGTGGACTGCTGTAAAGTCTGTTTCAAACTGCTTGCAGTAAAGGGGTGCACTTTCATGCAGAACAAACAATTATCATAATGAATAAACTAAATTCCAAACAAATTACAAAATAATTACTATTTCATTTTCACATTTATTGGATTGAATGAATTTCGGTTTTGCTGTCATACCAAGATTTCTAAAGCATTTCAATATTGCCTTAAGCGAACCTGGCCATGAAATTGATTTAAAGAAATGAAAAAAATATCATAAAAATGAGTGTAGAGCTGAGGTGTAGTGTAATGAGTGTATTAAAAAACAGAACACCCTTGCTTCAAAGAGACACTCCTGGATACTGGGCAAATCTAATGATGACCATGCCAAATTGCCAGCCTCGTCCCTGCTTTCCCCAAAACATAACACGGTACACCTACTATGCATCACAGTCAGGATCTGCACCTTCCTCCGTTTGCAAAAACTCCAAAGAAAATATCTTTTTGACATTTCTATGTCCCTTAGCATCTATACCGATGACATCATCAAGTAGCTCGCACACTGCTTTGAGTTGGGAGAGCCTTTGCATACAAGCTGATACAAGCAACATTTTGAAGGGGGAAAAAAATAACAAAGTATGGTGTTCTCTTGCCTTGAAAAAAACTACTTAACTCTCTGGAGAACCTGTTGGCTCTCTAAAAGTCTTGTCTCTTTGCCATTCTTCATTTCAGAATCTGGGATTTCTTTAACTCCTTTACTCATATAGTTCTATTAAAAATGAACACAATTGCTTTTTCACTTAACATTACATTACATAGGCATCATGCACAATACAAGGCACAGAGCATGTCTGCAAGTGTCCAAAATGTCTGTACTGCCCTGTCTGCCCATTCATTCATTCATCCAGTTCCAGCATAGTGAGTGCAACCTATACAATTCCTGACCATTCTGTACCTGCCTGCACTGTACTGATCCAGAGCATATGTAGCTTTATTCCACACTTCCACGGGTCTCTGATAATAATACTTAGCATATGGAAAGAGACTCCTCACATTCCACCAGCTTGTAATGATAAAACTAATAATGGCAATGTTCAAAAATCACATGATAATAAGAACTTTAAATAAATGCTCTCTCAAAAAGCAGCAACTTCTCTTGCAGAGAATTACAAAGGGGCAGTTTAAGACCTAAGAAAATCCTCTGAAGCATCCCACCTACCATAAAAGAAAGCAGCGCTAGGAATGCATCATGATCCTGATGTTCCTTTCATAATTTCTCAGTGTTTCCACTATTAAAGATTTTGAAATTTTTTTGGGGCTTCGAAATGACTAGTGTTAGAAAAAAATGAAGCAGTGAATTACAAAAGCACAAAACTTACAGAATTCTAATGAATTCAAATTAATAGATTTTAAGAATGGTTATGAAAATTAATATAAAAGTTTATCAACAATAGTAAACAGGGTGAAAACATAATTTAAATTACTGCTATAAGACTGGTTCAAGTTAATAAAATAACAATTTAAATTCACATTTGATTTGTTGAAAAATCTTCTAATTAACTTACATTAAATGATCAGCAAACATTAAAATAACTTATTAAGAAAACTAGAAGTTTACAGTGTTTATTAATTTTTAAAGAAGAAAGGCAATTCATTGAGTTTTGAAAATTGAAATTTCTATATTACAGAAATAGTGGTAAGTCATTGTATTATTCTTTAATGCCAATGTTATTCCAAATTATCTTACAACAATGCCTATTAAACAAACAGAATAGTACTTACCCAATATAGATAAGATAACCACCACAAAGTCAAATAAGTTCCATGGTTCCTTGAAGTAATGGTAACGAAGTGCAAAGATTTTCATGAGACATTCTGAACTGAAGATTACAATGAAGATCATATTAAGGCAGTCGAGAACGTCGCTGAAGCTTTGGGTCTGCTGGTAGTGGTCGAGTGTCATGGTCAACATGTTGAACCCAATGAACAACATGATGATCATGTCAAACTTCTTGTTGGTGCATATCTCAAACACTATGGCCTGTGGCTTCCACTGGAAAGTAGATTAACAATTGTACTCTCTACCCCATTAAACACACACACTTAAAGCATACATATTCAGTTTGGCGGAAGAAGTTGATGATACTTATGTAGTCAAGGTTTTAAAATAAGATAAAACAAATTAAACTTTCTATAATTTGTTTCCAGAACACATACAATTTTGTGGCTTGTGTTAATTATTAGCTACGTGTAGTATAATATACCCTCAAATCTGTAATTTTGCCCTTTCAACTATTGATTTTGTGAAGTTCATGGTTCCCCTCCAGTGCCAATGCATTTATGTTCCATAAGTTCTGTGTAATTTGTTGTTCCTTTTCTAATATTTATTGTCTCACCTTAAATAATTTAAAATTTTCCAAATATATGCTAAGTAAGAAGAAAATAGAACTCAAAGTTAACCCATTTCGGTAGAGAATGCTTGATGAATTCCATAAGATGTTTCAAGAAATGATTGTTTTAATAACAGTACATCAGTTTTTGAAAGCACTCTAACTCATGAGTGTATAAATTGAAATGTAAGAAGCAAATTTCTTTGGTTGTAGTGTGCATATTGATTTAATAAAATGCTGAGTTAAAATTGAATCAAAACTTTAATGGATATTGGGAAGACTATATAACATATCATCAGCTTCTCCCTAAACTCATATGCTTAATGATGCTGAAGCAGTCTGAACAGAAGCTGAGCAATAGACATATTGTATGTCAAAGCTGAAGTCATGAACATTCATAGCCATTACAGTACACTCCCGATTGTCTGTGGGCGGATTATCCAAAATACGAATAATCCGTGAAAATGCGCGGAATTATTTTATTTCATGTTCTTTTCTAGTATGATCATGCACTTTGTTGGCTAAACTAAAAACCAAATGTGTTAATTCTACAACTGGTGCATACAATACTACCAACTAGTGCAATAGCGCATGCTTGCTCTGAGAAAACCCAGTTCGCATGTTGAAAACTAAATGAACAGGAGGTATCATTTGATTTTTGTGGTTGCCTGGACTTAGCTGAACGCGTCACACTCGTGTTCTGCAAGTCCTCCATGGTGTAGACCAGTGGTGCAGGCTCAGTGTGTTTACAGTTTCTTCGTGCAACTTTCTACATACGGAAACCCCACGATAATCGAGAGTCTACTGTAAATAGTGTTAAGCCATTTAATAGTAATGAGCATATTTTGAATGTTCGTGTAGGATGGACCATGATGCAAGGAAGAACGGTGGTGTTTTTTTTTTTTTTTGAGGGCTCAAAAGAATCTCATTTACCCTGGGGCGTGGAATAGCTTTCAATGGCTTCTTCGAGCCCATCTTCTTCATTGCATTATAGTATTTCTTCTGGTCTTCTGTCATGAACATTTCTAGCGACCCTCCTGCGTACAGTCACATAACACAACTATATTTTTCAGTGTTCACAGAAGTTGTAGAGCGAAATTACTGTAAATTTTCACATGGCCAAATAGAATTGAAGCATCTTACTTCTAAATCTGAATTAGATGAACCTAAAATACATATATTTTAGTACATCAAAGCCATTTTAGTTTAGTTTTTTTAATGAATGTGAAAAAGAATCTAACACAGGTTTGGGTAAAACATATGAATTTAAAGATAGAAATTTATTCAATAAACTTCAGAACATGCAACATATCTGACAATACTTTTATCTTATTATTCTTTTTAAAACATTATTGAAAATTAATAGTTTATCTAGGAATAAGAGTGAATTCACAGCAATTGAAAGCCATGTATGTCTTACAGTAGTTTCCTACTACTGACAAATAAAGCAAAAATTCTCGCTTTAGGAACACAAAAATATATAATGTTATTTGTCAAACAATGCAATTGATTTGAATGAATTTTTTCAGTTTTTAATTGAATTTTTTGAATGCTAGAATATGCATTCAAAGATATCAGAAAATGGAATTGCAAAACTAGTTTGACTGATTAATATTAATATTAGTATTCATATTATGAACCCTTCCCTTTAGCTCAAGATACTTATCTTTTTCTTCTGTTCATTAAAATTGTCAATGATCACACCAATGAACAGATTGAGTGTGAAGAAAGATCCAAAGATGATAAAGAATACAAAATACAAATACATATAAATATTGACTTCTCGAATAGGTTGCTTATCCACCTGAAAAACAGAGAAAACACTAAATAAATGTTGAAAAGATAACACTTTTTAAAAAATGTTTATGAGAAAGAGAGAAAAAAACAAGCTGCAATCAGTAGTGTTCTAAGTTTTATTAGTTTATGAAAGCAACTTATGTGATTAGTATGTATCATGCTTACTGGAGCATGTCGTAGAGTGCGTATTCATGCTAGTGCTTCACATTCTCAAAGAGAGGCAGTTGAGTCACAAAGTTTTTGAAATGCTAATATACCTTCTTTCACATGCCTTGAGTATTATATTTTATATAATCAATAATTATTGAACTCAATTTATTATTGAATTCTTAGTGATTTATATCACTAGCCTCAGTGGTGTAAATTAGGAACATCAACAAAGTAAGTGAAGGTAAAGGCAACAGAAAACAATGCCTGCATAAGAAATGTGTGTTTTCATCATATCATTGCAGCATAAATGGTTTCTGATGCCACCCTCTCTAAACCAACATTTTATCGCAATCATTTATCTCTGAAAATCATTCTTTCTTTATGATCATTATTACTCCTATTTATCCTTCATACAGTAGGAGGCAAGAGTAAATTTGCACAGTTATCATTTGATTGCAATTTGGATGAGATTCATTTTCAGTTGTTCAAAAATATTAACTGTTTACAAATATATCCATTAAATAAAATGGTTTTACATAGTATAAATTCCTAACTATACCTTTTCAATTAAACTTTTAAAATTTACACAATTTTTATCATTATTTTAATCAATATTTTCAGGAATTATTACTTTAAGATCTAAAGTGTATCTGATCTTTCACACCTCACCACTTTAAAAATAATTTTCTATTCATCAAAATACTTGATATCTTATTTTGTCTTTCCTAATTTCTCATGTGACTGCTATTTGGAAATTCATTTGTGCAGCATCCATTCTTGGCTTGCCTCTTTTATTGAATGTCCTTATTTCAATAACATACAAAATAATTTGTTTGGCTTCAATTCTACAGATTCTCAATTTTAAACTGCATACAATTCTAAGTGATGCATTCTTGCATACAATATTGTAATGTCCACCATGTTATTCAGAATATTTTGTTCATCAGTATAAATTTCCAGCAAAATAATGAATTTACAATTATATCTCACTTCTTGTGAGATAACTTCTTGATTTAATTTCTTGTGTTGCAAAAACATAACAATATCATTTTCATTATCATGACTGAGGATTATTATGTATGGCTTGTATTACTTTCTGATTTATGATTTGTCAATTTTTAGACTGAAAATATTTTTAATGAAAACTACTATTATTAAATAATTTTCAATTGTTCTTTGCTCTGTGAATTATCCTTCAGGATTGGCAGTCAAGTACACCAAGCTGCTCAAAGAGCCATCTAAAGTAAGCAACAGAGTTTGGGCTCCTACTATATCTATACCTGATTAAAGTCTTGAACCTACTTTTGGGAAAATAAAGCTAGCATTTATTGCCATCTATTTCTTAGAGGACACCTATAATAAAATGGTTCCATATAGAGAAAGTAGCACCATAATCTTTCATTAAGGTAACATTTTTTTAACATGATTGTAATTGAAGTATCATAAAGTAATACTCATATATGGCATTTCAAAATCATTTTGTGACTAGTCTATCCATAAAGGGTCATAAGGCGCAAGCATTGCATGCAGAGAAGCTCATTCCATTGCGTGACAGAAATATAAACATGTATCTTGTATACTCACACTCATTAGAAAACAAATTCTTTAAACAGTTTTAAATGACTGTAAGAGAGTAATAAAATGTTTCTATTTTTTCAATCTGGAAGCTAAAAATTCTCAGTTTCATTGTTGAAAAAGTATTACAAGAAGAAATAAAGAGATTTAAAATGCTTTCAAAAATGAGCTTGTGATAAATGATTGACAAATTCGCATTGTTTATATTTTGGAAATTACTTTTATATGAAAAATTGAACTCAGACTAGATTAGTTATACATCTCTTACACATCATTCTAATATAAACACATTCATTAAAAGCACATTGCAAGGAAATGTTTGGAGAGAAAAGAGGAGTTAAGCTTCAAATTGGTTTGATATTAATTTTTGTCAGCTGTTAAACATACTTGTATCATTAGAAAGGAAACCATTACTTCCACTACTTAATATTTGTTATTTCAGTTCTTGTATTTATTTCTTGAAATCTTACACAACATTTTGAAAATAGAAAGAACTGTGTTAAGATTTGAAAATAACATTGATTTGTGTTAATGTCACTTTAATGTAAAGAACTGAGTATAAAATTCACAAAATTTGATTCTGAAGTACTGGTAGTTGTAGGGAACTTTGTGCCTTTTGTGATTACACATACACAAATAATATTACACATGTACAAAGAAGTGCAGGGTAGAGGTTAAAAAGAACACAGTGAAAACACAGGAATTCACATTTAGTTGAACACACAGATAGCAGAGTTAACATCAATGTGTGCTATGAAACAATTGTGTCAACATCAAACAACATTATTTTAAGTGTGTTCCTCCAAATTACTTACCTCTCTAGAGTCAATTGCATCATTCATGATCTGGATCCACCCTTTAAAGGTGGCCACTTGGAAGAGGCACAGATACGCTTTGCCCACATGGTCAAAATTCATTGGTGAATTTACCCACGTGTAGTTTTCCGCCACACAAGCATTGCGATCTGGAATGATCTCATGACTCACAGATGTTTCATTCTCATCTTGGCACTGAAAATATTTGGAAAGAGATTCAGCTGATTTAACACACGAAGGACATTCAATTACAGTAAAGTAAAATAATATAGTAAAATAGGTTATTCAGTTACATCTTCCAGCAATTTGCACATTCTGTTTATTCTGACTTTGCTTTTAATTCATCAAAAATAAAAAAAATAAAAGAAGAGAAATAACCGAAAAAAGGAAAGGAAAGCTTCATTTGAAAGTAAGATTGTTAAAAATAGAATGCTGTTTAAAAAAGTTACAGAAATATGAACATTAAAGAAGAATAAAAAAAATTAAATAAATTCAGCTCTTACCTTGAAATACTTCCCTGCAAAAAGTTGAACACCCATGATGGCAAAAATAAGCCAGAAAATGAGGCACACCAACAACACATTGAAGATAGAGGGAATGGCTTGTACCAAGGCATTCACCACAACCTGCACCCAAGAAAAAAGAAATGAGGAAGGCCTGAAAAATGATGGCTCTTACACATTTGGTAAATATTTCTCCCTTAATAATAGAAATTATGATATAAAGAATAGCATATTCTTTGGAAAAATTTATTGTGATGTAAAGTCTTAATGTTATTATTAAAATATGCGAAACAGATTAAAGAAAAGTGAAAGAAAATTGTCTCTAGATTCCCCAAAAATTATAATATTATCTTCAAGAATGATTTTTCTCCATTTAATGAATTTCAGTCTCAAATATACAATTTGAAAATTTTACTTTGTAAATATGACAAAAGCTAACTTCTGTGATTTTATTCTGAATTTACATTAAATTGTTATCTACTCACCTCCCACTTGAACCTTAGATTTTAAAATATTTATCATTGGAATAAAAATAATCAGCACAATAATCTAAATACAGTGTTAATTAAAACATAATCAATTTTAGCAATATTTCAAATATAAACAAAGTTAGAATTGCTACGATTTAGTTCTGCCTTATTTAAACTGTTGAAATTGAGAATATTCTATCCATGAAAGTGAATTATTCAGTAGTTTACTATGCATAGTGTTCGTTGAATCATGCATAATGCAATACATGCGCGCTGTCACTTATTTTATGCTTTGCATTGTTTCAAATTAGATACGCAATATAGAATGTGTCCTGAAATCATCTAAAACTGAAGTGTGTGTTTTTTAATGAACTGGAAGACATGCACCTTCCTCTTTAATTTATGAACCAAATAGTAACAAGCCACGTTTTCTATTCAATCAACCCCCAACATAATGAAATTATAGTGCATGAAGCAAAAAATCTTGCATTTGAAAAGCTATTGTATATAGCAAGCATGCTTTGTGTCTGACAACTTTAAAAGTGTCTCTTTTGCATTTGTGAACATTCGTACATCATTAAATTCACATGTGATTATTTAATGTTTCTAGAAATTAGAAATAGTGATCTCATGTACTAGGTCATGAGCACTTTAACATTCATAATTTGAAAGCTTGATCTTAAACTAATGTAACAATATTTTGGAGAAGTGCTTGGAATACTTTGTTGATTTGTGTGTATTAATATATGTGTAACAAGGTGAACAAACATCCTATAAAATAATAATAATAAATAATGCATCCAATTAACAGGACCTATACACCTTACAGATTCTAATATTGCATTCATTTAAGTTTCACTTTCAAAATGTCCATTGTATAATTCTAACTTCAATGAAGAAGTAATACCAATGATTCAATGATTCAATGAAGGGAGAAGGAGGACAAGAAGAGTAAACACTTCCTATCAAAGAAGAGAAAAAAAGGGATGAAGTATAGAGGGAGGTAATTGGGAATATATAACAATGAACATTTATAAAAGCATATATGAAAAATGCCTGAATAAGTAACTGTTGTTTACTATGCAATTTTCATATCTTCACTCGAGTATAATTTTTTCTGTTTTTTTAATTAAATCATTACAATTCAATTTTGTTACCATTTCTTCCCTTGCGGCAAGAAATTTAAGATGAAGAAATAATTACATTCTTCAAGTTATATTTGCTCAACAACTAGTTCTCAAATGAGAAAAACCTTTCAATTTGATACTTAAGGCAATTTTTAAAAGCTTTATGAAGTGCCATGGTTTTAGAAGAAAAATTTTTAATCTCAATTTCTAATAAACTTATGGATTTGTACAAGTTTATTTAAAAATGTAATAAGATAAAAAAGATGTTCCTTTTTAAAATATGCCAATTTTCTGTGAGAAAACTTAGTTATATATTCAGTCATTATTCAAATGAATGAATCAGTCAACACAAAAGCATTATACAACAAGCAAGTCAACAATCAAATCTAAGGTAAAAATTATAAACAAAGAGTAGGAACATACAAAATACAATATTATTTACTGATTGGACTGTCACATTTTGCTAACTAATTTTTGAGATCAGGAATTTTAATCTCAATTAGCAGAACATAATTATTGAGAAATTCTTACAATATAATTGTACAAGGAAAAATTATACAGGAACTTTATGAACTGTTTAAATAATATAAAGTCAGCAATTTGCATGAGAAATAGCAGCATTTTCTATATTCTTCTAAAAAATGAGGCCTTCTTAGGGAGGAATGAGTCCACAAATAATAGTTTTGTAGTTGTTTCTTTCATTATGACTGTCAGTCAATAAAAATTTTGTACCAAAACGTAATACATGAATTTATGACTACAACTAGAATTTTGAGTAACATAAAAAGAGGCATGTTACTTAACAGTGAGCTTGACAAATCTTTTTTTAAAATGAATCATTCACAAAAAGTTGATTTGTCGAACTCTGAAAAACTCTAAAACTTTATTTTCTACTACTAAGTATATTTTCATATTATTAATATTATGATCTACTTTCTGCAATGTTTTATCTCATAGGAATTTTATATCCTTAAGTAATTTTGCAAACTTGATTTCCAAAAATAGCAATAAAATCTGTTAGGTTAGGAGAAAAAAATACAATAAGCATAACAGTACACACTAATACAACACTTATATCATTCAAGAATGTTCAAATTGACAAAACAAATTCTACACATAAATGCACAATATTACAACACAAATTAAGCAACACATAGACCAAATGCAGAGGGGAATCTAGCATGCTGGACAGAAAAGACAATGAAGGCATAGGGTGTTTGCAAGATTTCACAATCCACAGGAATTAAAGATTACTACTCCCAAAGTCTCAAGTAAACCTTTCAAGGAGAGGACAGACAATTATTGAAAATATTTTCAAATAAATAGTTGTCCAAAAATTAATAAGAATTACTTTGGAAGACAGTAGAAATCTGTAATTGTGGTGTTGTATAACATGAACTCATGTTATACTTTTAAAGAACTACAAAAAGGTTTTTCAACTTTGACGTGAGGTTGTAAATTCAAATTTTTTCTACGTTGCAGTAAAAAACGGTATAAGCAGAAAACACTAGGTGGAGTCTAAGTGCATTCCCAGGGAGGCACTCCAGGGAGGCGCTCCAGGGAGGCGCTCCAGGGCGCACAGCTCCTCCTCCAAGGCCCCATGAGACGGCTGGGTACGTACCCTCATCCCCTGCATTCTAGACATAGCTCTAAGCGGCCTAAGAGCCCTGAGGGTCCGCATGGTTTTGAAGGCCTGAATGCCTCCAGCCCCAAGCAACGAGGCAACGAAGTTTATGAGCGATACCTGGAGTGAATAGATGTACACTTGATACAGAAACAAAGGAAAGCAACGGCTCACTGACAACAGACAACACAACATAACAACACAACAACAATCACTACTATTGTCTATTGACAAGGAATGTTGGCTGACTGGTGGCAAATTTTACTTCAAAGGCAGTCATTAATATACAATGATAAACAATAAATTCTCCTTGTATGGAGAAAGGTTATTGTATCATTTACTTTTACATCAAAGAAGGATTAGTCATTCTGTGTTAAAATTTTTATATATGTATATATATGTTAATATTTACAATTTCTTTATATAGAGATCTTTTAATGGTAATATGTTCTAGTCAAAACCTTCTTTGATATAATTTCTTAAATATCAACATTCCCATCCATATATGAAGCACATTTGAGAAAGAATCATTAAAAAGAAAGACAAAGAAAAGAAAATATTACATAAAATATACACTGATTGCACAGTTTATTGGAGAAGAAGAGCCATTTCCTGTAATAGATGTGATACACACAGAGAGAAACAAGTTGATGCATCAAACACACTGCCTCACACACTCAAACACACACATGGAGAGAAAAACACAGAAAGCAACTTTATAATACCATGGCCATCGGCGAAATAGATGGAAGACTACAGGTAATCACACAGTGAAGAGAATGTGCAACAACACCAACTCTGGTCCACATGGCGTAGCAAGTCACACACATTTATATAATACAATTCACATCTGGGAGTCATAAGAACAGAAGAAATAAAGGATTATGTGGGTTATTGGAAATTTAAGGTTGCAATGCCCTACATTTTGCTATTTTAACCCTGTTACTGAATTATCAATATATTTCTTATCCTGTGTTCACCCATGGGTGTCAAAATTCCACTTTCCAAAAGAGAAACACTAAAAAACCTAAAATCCACTGACATATCTTGCACACAAACCTGTCTCTTGTTTTTATTATTTTGTGTAAGACATTGATGAATACTTGTTTTCATATACTGATACTAGCAGTAAAAATTCATGCATTGTTAATGCAAATGTTAAGTTTTCTTCACAGTACAGTTAAGTCATCTGAGCACATCTGATAGAAAGACATATGCCCACTAGGCCCAAGCTTCCAAGTCATTCCAATGTTATATGCAGCAAAAGCTCCCAGTCTTTCCCACTTTCTGATTTTACCACTTTGCCTCCATCCTTTACTTACTCTCATTCCCTCCCAGCGTGACACAGCACGCAAGGGCCTCAGGGCACGCAAAGTGCGCATCGAGCGGAAGGCAGGGATATCAGCAGCTCCGGCCCATATGGCCGCGAGGTTTATCAGAGACAGCTATGTCAGGGAAAAGCCACGTTAAATGTTAATGAAAATTAGCTGCATAGCAAATGAAAAATGAAATAATCATACTTCAGAAGCTCTTCCTGCCATTAGAAATATGCTGACTTTTCAATTCAAGAGATTGTTTCTGAGATGGAATACTAAAATATATTCCGATTTGATGCCTATTTAAGTTGAGACTTTTTAGGAATAATATACAATGTATTGCCATTTCTATAATCTTTGATTAATTTCAAAACTTACTTAAACTTTACAAAAAAATCTCTTGAATTTGAATGATCAACACATAGAAAAAAAAATCCTGGTCCTTGCAAATACAGCTGCAGACTAATGATAAACATTTTGAACATATCTGTCTATTTGAATTTAGTCATATCTGGTTGAGAAAAGGCATGATCACACTCAGCATTTAATCATGAGGCAAAGGCAGCTGTAAACTTGGAAATCACTAGGAGAAGAAAAAGCTAATATTAAATACTATTAGGAAAATGCAATCAGAATATTATCAGCTTTTAACAATTCAGTGACAAAGATAATACAAAGAGGATCAAAATTGTTATTTTGAACAAATATAAACAAGCAAAGCTTCCATTAAAAAAATAATGTCTGCAGGACTTAAATAGAGAAAGGTTTTTATTTCATTTTCACTCCAGAGAAAATATTTCTTAAAATCTGTGACTTCTTTTTCTTTTACAAGTGGAAAGTTCTTATGTATTATCTTTGTCTCATAATCACACGAAATAGTTATAAAAAATGTAGTATACATTGATTCCAATAGAAGTCACCTGTTAATGTCTATTTCATACATTACACAACCAGAAGTTCCCATTTTCTGCTCTGTGAGGTAGAAAAATAAATTAGTTAAACAATCAGCTGTAACAAAAGCATATCTGACTAGTTTCCTCTAGCAAATAAGTTGTTTTTTTTTAGTAAGTAAAACAAATTGGAATAAGATGATGATGCATCTATTTTTCTTAAATCTCTGCAATACTACTACATGTTTAATTAAACTAATTAGATATTAGTAGGAGAGACAGGGGCTGGTTATCACGAGTTGGAATTTTTATACAAAGACTATTTCTTTCTTTCCCTTGTTTTATAATTAAAAAGTAAGTTTATTAATACTGGCATTACATTAATGAAATATAAGTATGTGTTTGGATGTTTTTGAATTTTTTGGTCTCTGCCACACTTGGGGGTGGGGAGGAGGGGTTAAATATTAATTGACCATTTCTGTGTCAATTACCAAAATTAAACATATTTTGTGACCATAAGTGACCACTACTAACACAAAATCAGGGTTTGGATATAAATTAATAAAAAATAAAAACAAAATAAAAATTTGTCATTATAGACAAGGAATGTATTCAGAAACAAGTACGCTAATTGTCCTTGGAGTTTCACATTTCACAGTTTTACAATTTAGCACTGTAACACTAAAATTTTTGGAAGGCAATGAAAATGTTATTAATTGTGGCTTAACTACTAGTGTTTTTACCCTAGGTGTGAAAAAAATGAGAAAAATAATATAATGTTTTGGAGATGGTTGGCAGACAGAGGATGCAGCAGTGCCAAACAGCCCTCAACAGGACTTTTTTTCTTGGAGATGGCCATAAAGAGGACAAAGTGCCTCAAAAAAAACAAGAATAGATTCATGAAAATTAAGAGCTTGGTTGAAGGTTTCAGCTAAAAGAGAAAGAATCAAAATCTTCCCTGCTCGATATTTCAGAAGAAAATCAATGAACTATGAATATATTACTTTCCGAGCTCTAAATCACACATGAGATCGCAGTTCCACCACCATTTCACTGCTCATACTGAGACTTCTGGGGGAAGTTTTTAAAGTTGTGAAAGCCTCATGATACAAAACTAGAGCTTATGGAATCTCTGTGGCCGATTTACAATTTGATGAGTGGCATCCACTCCCTCATTTCAAGCAGCCCTGGGCACCCCATCTTCATTCATTCTACTTCAATTTATTTTTCAAAAAATGTATACTTAACATGAACATATAATAAATGTTCTGTTATGAATAAATTTTAGTGTATTTTTAAAATAAAGGAGATTAATTACTTTTTTTAAAATTTGTTTTGGAATGCTTTTGTTGAAAGAACTTGAAATTTTATTTGCTTATTTTGCCCAAGAATAATTTCATCAATTTTCCCTTATAAATTGATGCAATGACAGGTGATTACAAACAAGATGAGCCTCACACAGAAGCCAAAGAATGTTACTATTTTTAATGAAGACAAACAGACTTATCAAAGACAATCACCTAATAATTTAATTTTTGTTAATATATTCATTAACAGATTGTTAAATGATTTAATAATGAAATTATCACCAAATGATTTAATTTTAATTGTTTCATAACATAGATATTAAATACATAATTGTGTATAATTTTAACTTCTGGATACAATTAACAAAATTTACTAGCATAATATTTTTTTTTTTTTTATTTTAAAGTCAAAAGAAAGTGCTGACAAAAATCAATAGTTGTAGTTCACAAAATCAACCATAAGTTCAACTAAAGTTATTTAATGACTCTTAAGTTTTTCTTAGAACTTGAAAAAATATTTCCTTCATTCATAATCTATTAATAAAATACAGTAATTTTCAATAAGGAAACTAGATTTTCTATCCACTAACAGTTGTGAGAATAAATAAAGAAAAATTATAGGTATACAAATTAAAGGATGTTTTATAATATTTTCAAACAATAGTTTGTAGAAAGTAAGTATAGTAAGATTTCTGGCATTAAGTTTTGCAAATAGAATAATTTTTCTAGACAGCATTTTAGTACATTCGCATCACAATTTAAAATTCTAAGAACTTGGCATATTCTTCTTAAATTTATGGAATACCAGGAAATCTATCTGACCAATAACCTACAGTTATGTTGTTAAGCTATGGTTCCATTATACTAATTTGATAGTAGACATTTTTCAAATAAATTAATTTAACATAGATACGGTACATAATGCAATCTATTTTATCATCACAGAGAAATTTATTTTGGTGGAAGGTAATTCAAAATGAAAAATTTCAAAAACAGGAAACCAAAGTTGTAATTTCTTTTTTGATGATTCTTTGTGAAAGACATTGAAAATTTGAAGACGGTAGAGAATATTAATTTAAATAAGGGAAGTTACAAAAGACAACTATGTTTTTGCTTTTGATGCAAAATATCATTTAATAATAATACCAAAATCTCAAAGTTTTTGTTCTTTATCTTGTAACAACTAAGTTTTTATACCAAGTTGTAATGAACAACTAATCAGCTTTATCTGCCCGGGGCCTAACACAAGGCTCCAAATATTGTTGTTAAGTTGCCAGTGATCTTTGGTGATCTTTGCAAAACACTTAAACATTTGAACTGAATTCAAATCTTTTGACCAACTTGATCAAATATATCAATTTGAAATAATTATAAATAGGTTTGCAATGTTTTATTGTTAACCTATGACTAATTTCATGCTGTATAAAAGAAAATAATGAATGAATCTCTGAATATGGATACAGCTTTTAACTCATTTTCTCAAACAAGTAGAGCAGTGACAGAGCAGCTTCTATTGATTTTTTTGACATGAAAAAATAATTATAATAAATTAACAACATACCATTACAATAATGAAATCCAGCCAGCACCATGCATTTGTGAAATATTTCTTGAAACCAAGTGCCAACCACTTTATTAACATCTCTAAGAAAAAGATGACTGTGAAGATTCTGTCCATATAGTATAAAATATCTTGAAGGATTGGCCGATGTTGTAAGTGCACATCTTCTAACGCCTGCAAATAATTCATTAAAAAAATGGTGATGATAAAAATCAATCTTCCAAACTGTTAATATTGCAAGAAAACAATAATAAAACTAAATAAATAGTGTAGCCTGTCTTTTGTCCATCTTTTATGCCCAATATTTTGTTGAGGAATAAAATTTGTGATTCTCTGTTTTGTGGTCTTTTTGACCATGGATTTGTGAAAGCAAAGATAAGGAATGAAACAAACCAAAGCAAGACTGCTCAGCAGGATCATGGTGATAACAGCTGTTTCAAAGTACTTGTTTTCAATGAGCTGAAAGGTCTTCAGTCTAAGATTTCCCCATCCTTGCCAGAAGGGTGAGTCATCATCCCCAGCAAGGAAAGGGAATCTCTTGTAACATGGGTCAGGGCAACAATCTGAAGGTTCACCATCTCCCTCAGAACCACCATCCATCTCCACTGGTGCACCAACTGGTGCTTCATCAGCTGCTTCGTCGTCTTCCAAGTCTATATGGAAGAATAGTTATTCATGACATTTTTAAATACATCAGATTAATTCGCTTTTAAACTAATGTATGATAATTAATTGCATCATATGTTAATACATATACAATACAACATTTTAAATGCACGAACCTCCTTCTTGCTCAAGATCTTCTTTGCTGGCATCTCGCTTTTCCTCACCATCTAATGTGTCTGCACTTCCTTTGTGGCTTAGATCATTATACGGACGGTTTTTGTGACTGCCATAGGACTTATTACTGTAACAGTGTATTTAAAGATTAAAACATAAATTATTATGATAATACAATAAGCTAGAAATTAAATTTTAAAATAATTTGATTAGGGCCAGTCAAATGGCCTAGATCATTAAGGCAATAGTGCTGTAGCAGTTTTAGACCAGAAGATTCCAGGTTCAAGTCCTACCTCAGGCATGGGTGTATTTGTGTTTGTCTGTATGTGTGTCATCCTCTCATACCTCATAATCATTTCATCTTCCATACCCCCAGAGCTAACAACTCTGGGGTGTAAAAATGGACTCAGCAGAAATATTGATACCCCCTAATAATGTTTTATGTGCGTACCCTCAGGAACAAATATGACTGGGCCTTGGTGGATATAACTGCAAGTTCAATGGTCTATAGAAACGCCAAGTCATGATGAAAAAAAAATTGCTTGGGATCAAAACAAAAAGAATATCACAGCTTGGGAAGATAAATGGGTTTTATTTTAAAATGGCTTTTTCTGAAGTGTGTGTGTTTAATATTGAAATTTTTAAGTAATACTTTTAAACATTGAAATTGAAAGACATATTTCAATGACCCTGAAATACTGAGCAAGTCTGTGAACATATCATCTGACAACTCTAAGTGAAGTCATATAATATTTGTCAGCTTCAATATTCCAGAGATTAAAAAGAAATAATCTCTTCCTTCATTCATTCACTCTCTTCACTCACTTTTAAGTATGATTTCATATTCAGTTTTTTCACATATTAAAAATACCTTAAATGAAAACTACCTGATATATTTATATTATTTTTGTCTTATGAAACTTACCTAATTGTATCTTCATCAGGCTGATTTTTTAGGTATTCATTGTCTATCCTATTGTCTTGATGGTTGATGGAGTTACCAATAACTTTTGTGTTGTTCATCATCATTTTCCCTTGCTTTTTCATTTTATTTTTTAGATCACCTTCAGAAAAAAGCAAAGAATAAAAATAAAAAGGTATTGAAGGTTATCTATTCCCTCACAACAAGTTTTAATATACTTCAGTTAATCATTCAAATGATGAACAATCTAAGGAAATGAAAGTGAATGACTTTCTTACCATGAATGGTAAATTCCATTCCGTCCCCTATGGCCACTTCCAATTGAGTTTGCTCTTTAGGACTCTTTTTGTCACGGAACACCATACCATCCGCAACGATTGTATCATCTGCGGTCAGTTCCAGGTCAGTGTCTCTCTCGTGGGCATCTGTAGGACATACAACGCTCCTCATGTCAACCCACTTCCCTGGAACTAACAACCCCCAATCCTACTGTCTGACCACACACAAGACCACCATTGTAATAATGCATCTACAGCTAATTTAAGAAACATCTATGTACAAAAACTCATGAGAAATGTAATTGTATAATAATGATTTAGAACATCAACTTGAACTACAAAAAGAATCTCTATCAAGTTAAACAAATTTTATTGAGGATATCTAATATACACTAATAGATAGTAACAAGAGGATACAAAACAAAACAATCTTCAACTCTAATACTGAGCCATAAAATAAAAGCAAACAAACAAAAAGCAAAAGGAAAGTAAAATAAGTAAGTTCTGGAATGTCTTTAAGTATAAATGTAACAAATTCCAAGGCAACAGATAAATACTGGGTTGCAAGTATTTATTAAAATTTTCCCCCTTATTTGTTTTATTTGTGCTATACCAAATGATTACATCATGTTCTAATATCATCTACAATGTTAGAGTACAATTTTTTTTAATGTGAATACCTCAGTTCAATCAATGAGTATAATGTGAATATTTTTTAGAAGTGCTACTTTTTAGTTGAGAATTTAAGAATCTATAAGATCCTTAATGATGAAAACATATTAAGCAGAAGCTTTTAAAAAGGAATTAAATATTTTTTTGGTTACAAATGTTACAAGAGTTTTGGAAGTGTTTCACAAATTGCACAAAGAAGAAATAAATGTTATATTTATATATAAAAGAAGTCATAACACAAACTACAAATCAGTATGAAATTTAAGATCAAATACATTCTATAAAGGAGAGGAAATTATGATTACTTGTATCACACAAGGAAAGGAAGTACAAAGATAATTAAAAAGCATTAAAACTCTTCATCTTAACAAAGAATAAAGGTAAAGAAATGTGTATGTAGATTTTTTGAAATCAAGTAAAATAGAGATTCTTTTATGTAGACTTAACATTAATTTATAACTGAACTAAATTAAATATTCTATAAGTTGATTTCATTAAGGAGTGCAAAATATATGTATATATTTGTGATGATGTTAATCAACATTCTGTGAGAATTAGCTTGATGAGCTGTTAATTTAACATTCTTCTAGACTTGTAAAGTGACCTACACAGTGGTGGTGCTACACTGGTGGAGGTACAAACAGACGTGCATGTGCAAACACTTCTCCAAGAGAAATATTAGATCTACATGATACTAAAATTAATCATGATGCAAAAACAAATTCTCACAAAAACCAACAAAGAACAACACAGTAAAATACACAAGTGAAACTACAAAATTGGATGAAAAAAAGGCGCTAAAATTATTATTCTTAAGAGCATTCACAGCAAAAGGAGACACATGGAGATGGTACTTTTTGCTTATTTTGCAATGAATTTCTTTAAACAATGTAATGATAATGCACATATTCATTCTGTTTCTAATTTTGTGTTCATTTTTATTTATTAATAGTTTTTATTCAGAATTTTGAGAAACCATGTAAATATAGAATATGTTTTTTTTTATGAATAGAGCAACCTTTCAGTTTTGTTATGTTGTACATAAATTTCACGGGATATTTAACATTATATATATACCATTTTAAAACTATCTGTTACTGAGTCAGCTTGTTTGCATTGTTCTATACATAAAACTTTCTATTTCGAAGACTATGCAATGCGATTCTAAAATATAATTTGAAGTCAAATAACAAGTTGGAGAAGTAAAGAAATGTAGGTCAGAAAAAGAAAGTAAAGTAAGTTTTATTAAAGAACTCTCTTTCTGCACCTGGAAGCAAATACATGGTATTAGGAGAGTTAGTTGGTAAAGTACACAGAGGGAGAGAAAAAAAAAGATCAATTAACATACAATGTAAAGCCACAATGCAATATTGAAAGATCTAAAAAAAGAATAATGAAAACAAGTGAGAACACTGTGAATACAAATCTAAACATAAAATGGAAATAAACAGGAAATAAATTATTTTTGCATTATGTAACAAAGAAAGAATTGGATAAACATAATTGGCTCAAGGAAAAGAGAGAGGTCTTTCATTTATGTCAAAGAAGTTCTCCTATAAAGCTTCATAGAAATCCCAAAAAGTTCAACCCAGGAAAAAATGTCTAATGGAAGGATAAAACAAGATGATAAAGTAAAGAAGGGATTTCCTAAAAACTACAGAAATTCATCAGAAGGATTGAGACTGATCAATGAAAGTCAGCTAAGAATACTAACATGAAAACAAAGCCAGCTGATCAGATTCTTTCAGATTATGAATTTGAAAGAAATAACACCCCAAATTTAATGCAATTATCTGAAAACTAATTGTGTGGAGGAAATGTGCAGACCAACTTCTCTGAGACTGTTGTGTTGACTGAAATAAATAATTTGTGATTGAAGAGAGAAGAATAACTGCTGTAGAGGAAACCACAATTTTTAACATGGGTAAGGAATATGAGGTGTTTGTGGCAAAGACTTGAGTATCAGCATGGATTTGAATGTCCCACTACTTTATTTTCAATGAAAAATGAAGGTAATTAACTTAAAGACTAAGCCATAATTTTATTAATTGTATTTTATAGTATAGAAAATTGTAATTTTTCCTTTGTCAAAGAGAATATTTCAGACAAATTAATAGTTTGACTATTAACATTCTGGATATAATACTAGCGTATTTTTATCATCAAAAGAAAGATTTATTTCCAGTAATATCTTGAAATATGATTTAAGCTATGTGTAGATTCACAATAACATTTATCCATCTTGGGATATAACATTTCCCTATCACATAATAGCTGTTACATAACTTTTCATTCCTGTTAAACACTAAATTTCTTTGAAAATGATGCATACAATATTAGAATTTAAACATAAATGGTTTCTGTGAACATTCCTTCAGTGGATTTATTTTCAAGTAAAATCTTTTCAAATCAATTGAAAAATTGATGATATCATCATTACCATGAACTATTAAAGAAGAGATCTAATGGTCTATTCCATTGTTCCAGTAGTCTCTTAAGTCACAATTAAGGAATTATTGTCCTTTCCATTTTTTTGGTCACCTTCCTCTTGTTCTTGTTGGTCTATAATGTGAAAGATATTTCAGATGGTTCAATAGTAGAGGTGGTGGTGGTGGTAGTGGTGGTGGTGGTGGTGGTCGTGGTAGTGGTCGTGGTGGTGGTGGTGGTGGTGGTGGTCGTGGTCGTGGTCGTGGTCGTGGTGGTCGTGGTGGTCGTGGTGGTCGTGGTGGTCGTGGTGGTCGTGGTGGTCGTGGTGGTAGTGGTAGTGGCGGGGTTGGAGACAGGGTCAGGGTGTGGGATCACTCAATAAGAAAAAGTCCCAGAGTATCATTTGATGTAAATGCATTCTGAACAGGCCAACCACTGTATTTCAAACTGGCTTGTCTTCCAACATGTATCCCATAACTCCACAGTATTTAACTTGAAAGTATTCAAAATACTCAGCCATTGACATAAAATTTAGCAAAATATGAAATAATATTTTTTTAATGAAAACATTTATTTTTATGCAACTTGATCAAAATATTTATTTGAAAATGATATGTATTTTGGTAATTGGAAACTAAAGGGCGCTACTTGAATTTCAATTCAACATCAAAGCTCAGGATTAAGAGGGTTAAATTTATATATTTACCTAAAAGTTCAAGCCCTAGTTATTAGTATTATTGAGTCACATATCCAATTTCAATAGTGCAATGTGTGTCAAACATGATGTACATGGGGGAGTGCAATTGCACATGTCTTCTTAACTTTCAGAGTCTCTACACTCTTTTTTACTGCACATTATTTTGAATAAAGGTAGAAAGGAACATTTTAATACTTGATAAATGTTCACTTCTGTGTATTAAAACTTATTTATTTGTTTATATAATTCTTGATAAATATATTTTTTTTGAGTTTCAATGAATCCTACGAGAAATGCACTTTAAAATAATTATTTATTCTCTACCTTAGTTGTGTAATATTTCCTCCAGAAATATCATTATTTGAAAAGTTTTAACATACAGCAAGAGTAATTCTAAAATAATGGGAACAAATATAAGAAAAACAAAGAAAAAATAGAAGAAAACAATAATATATAATGCAAAATTCCTGTTGATATTAACTGACATGCTAATGGCTCTGCCAATGGAAAACAATCTTAGCAGTGTAGTATTAGATATATGAATAAGAATGAAATATGATGAAGTCATGGCAATCACAAAGAGTTAAAGTGAAAATTGCGAATCTAGCAAATTAATAATCAATCACAATTAGGTGATTTTTAAACCTACATTAACAGTCCAAAGAAGTTGATTCTTGAAAGAAGACTCTCCATTCAATTTGCTAACTTTAGAAGAATGTGTTCTAAAGGAAATGTTACGGAAGTGACTGGACAAGATATAACAACACTAAAAAATGATTCTAATAATCTTGTTTGTCTTAACTGCTAGAAAGATTTGAAGGTTTAGAAGATTATTTCTGCATTGTAACATTAGTTAGAATTATTTTAATAATGTTACAATGTAGTCAATTGTAAGAACAATGTTACATTGTAGATAATTGTTGTAGTATTGTTTTATTTGTGTTACAAGAAGAACCTATCAGCATTTTAATGTTGGATTTGCTACTGAAAAATTAATTAGTAAACACCCATTTCCAGTTGAGTTCTATCAATTAATATTTCAGAGATCAACGGGAATCTAAAGGAATGGTTAAAAAAATTACAATAATGAATTTGAATTTTTATTTTTCCCATTGAGTAGATTGGAAGGCAAAAATATTTGGATTTCAAATTAACATGTAATGAAGAATTAAATATCCTTTGAGAGAGTTTGAATTCATATTTTTCAATGTTTCTCACATCTTCTACTCATAATTTCAAGAGAACATTTCACAATAAAACTGGATTTTGAGATAAATACCTATTTTTTAGTTGATATCAACCTAGGATTAAAAATTTAATCTCGCACATTTTGTCATTATTTAAAGCTACATGACATCACTTAAAACAGCTTAAGTGGCCTTTTGTGTACATCAAACCTCTGAGTGAATGTTTTATATTTCTTCATACAAATTCTCCCTTGATAAGCTATGCAAAATTCATGTTTTTGTCTACTCCTTATAGCCTTTTGTATTTTTCATTTTCTCTCCAGGCTATTGAAAGCAAGTGGATTAAAAGAAAGTTTTATATGTTTTTGTAAGTCACTAAAAGAAGATGTTGAATGTATTATTATTAAATGAGAATTTGAGTATAAAGAATTTTCATACAAATTAACCAGAAAACCTTATCATAATATTATCAATCGAATTAGATTTCAGAAGTCAGAAAACTTACAAAATAAATTGTGATAAATAGTCCTTCTCTGTTTAATTCATAACTGTCTGGATTTCTAAAATATTTAGGTATAACTATAAATTAAGTAGGTAATAGTGAATGTTAATTAAATGATACATTACTAATAGAATACCTGCATTCAAAGTAGAAAAAGTTTGTAACTTCACCCCAATTTAAAAGAGGCAACAGAATTTTACAAGAGATTGATATTAAAAAGGGGTTGGTACGTTAAAGAAAAATCCAATTAAGCTTATTTTATTGTCTATTTATTCATTCACATTCATTAATATTTGGTTAGAAAGAGCTTCACTTAGGCAATGGTGCAATTATTAATGATTATCTTGAGGGACTATATAGTTTTGAAACTAAAATGCACAGTCTAATTATGAAATTTAACATAGATTAGAATGATCTTTCTTATTACAACATATTGATTTCTCAATAGAAATGTAAAGATCCATAAAAATGATTCCTGACAATATCTTGCAAAGGGATATTAGAATGATATGCTATAAATGCAAGCTCTAAATATATAAACATATCCTAAATACAAAAACCTTCATGAATTCTAAGAGAGTTCAGTGTATGACTGTGACAGCCGACTGTAACAATTTGAAATCATTAAACAGAGAAGTGACTAGAAGTAAAACCATGTTCATTGTCTCCTCTACTTCCTGACAATGAAAGGATACTTTTGAGCATGACTGTACAGCAGTGCTACAAGAAAAAAACAAAGACAGTGAACACTACAAAACGGAAGATAGCACAGCGAGCACGAGCGATCTGATTGGATATAAACCTTCTTTCCAACTGCAGGATGGAGCCTCACCTGGCGTCTGATCGGAAATCTGATTGGTTAGCTTAGCACGCATCAACTTAGCCAGATTTAGCATGTTACGTTTCACCCAGTTGATAAAACGGGATATTCTGTCAAACGCCTCTGCAATCTTATTGGTGTCATTGTCTGTAGATGGAGCAGACAAATTGGAGGAACCAAAGTTGCTGAGCAGCAAGGCCAAGAAAAGGTTCAGAACCTGAAAAGACAAGTACACTTAAGAAAACTATAATTACAGATAAGAAAATAAGTAAAGAAAGATATGTGAATAAATATATTATAGAAGTGATATAAAATTGGGTATAAGTGAATAATTTTAATTTATTTTATAAAAGTTAATTAAGTTGGGAGTTTCTCACATATAAGCCCAATTTAATAAAAAATCATAAGTCACAGTTTTAACTTACAACCAAGTTTCCAATGACAACAGTAGCCAAGAAGAATGGAATGCATGACCAATCCCCCACTAATATGCAATCCCACATGGATTCAATCCATTCTCCACACAGCACGCGGAATACAATCATGAAAGAGTGCATGAAGTCAGTGAAATTCCAGCGAGGCAAATCTCCATCAGGGAAGCGATCCACATTGTCTGAAAAAGAAAAGGAAGAATTTTAACCAGAATCATCATTAAAAATCATTCAAAATTAATTTTGATATTTCCATTTAAAAGAAAATTTATTTTTTAGAGATATAATGTATTTCTTAAAGATTGGAGTAATGATTTGTAATCATCTTTACTATTACAAACTTTTATCCAATATATGTGAATCACTCAGCCTGTTATAATAAAAACAGGACAGTAGCAAAAACATCACTTTAAATTCTTTCTTTGTTATTAAGTATTCACTATTTGGAAACATGTACGAGTTACAAGGAAGGCAAATCTTAGAGTATCATATTATAATATATGCCTTTAAAAATGAACTCTAATAATGTTCACAAATGTCAGGAATACCTTTTGTTCTGTGATAAGCTTTGAAAACATGAAATTTAAATTGGAATTCTGTAATGAAATCATACATTTATAAAATGTAATGCTGCTACATCTATACATCCATTCAATCTAACAAAAGAAAGAAAGAAGGAAAGAAAGAAAGGAAGGAAGAAGTGGAAAAAATACATGCATGATAAAATTTGAAATAAATATTAAGAATATGGTCATCAAAAGCTGAACTTCTGAGTAAGGTTACTGGTATAATAATAATGCCTGAATGTAGATAAAAGGAATCAAGAACAAACGAAAAGGATTAGATTTTAACATACACATACATTCCATAGTTAATATATTGTCAACTTCCTGTTTGTTCTTTAACAACATCAATAAAAATTTTGCTTTTAAGAGTATTTTAAAGACAAAGTGTGATACCAGTTCAAAGTTTTGTTAGATTTCTGAGTAAAGTTCTATGACATGCTGCATACATACTGCAAGTACTACATTGCTCATCTCAATTTTAAAATTTCTTATCTCACCTGTGTAATTCTTGCCAAACAACTGCATGCCCATGACAGCAAAAATGAAGATGATAATACACAGCACAAAGGTCAAGTTACCCAAAGCACCCACTGTTCTACCCATAATAGATATCAGCAAGTTGAGAGTGGGCCATGATTTAGCCAGTTTGAACACTCGGAGCTGTGGAAGAAAATTATTATTAGTTTTTATTACACTAGTGTTAAAAAATGTGATTCAAATAGTTTAACAGTAGAAGAAATAATATTTTCAGGTAACTTCAATTTTGCAGCTAACACTAATAAAAGTATTAGCCCCAAAAATTAAAATTTTCTTATTCTAATACATTCTCAACATTCTGAAAGAAAAGGTATAAAAAAAGAAGAGGAAAAATGAACAATGGAAAGGCTTCTCCATTTCCAAATTTTTAAGGACATGAAAGAATCATAGTCATATATTAAGAGTGTATTTTTTTGTTAAATTATTCAATATTCTTGCAGAAATTTCATTGAGAAGAAAATCATTACAATCACATCATTATGAAGAAAGAGCAAAATTCCTCATATTCTGAACTCCACTCTTCAATTAAGATTCTGAAAATCCAGAAGAGAAGAGAATATGATATTTCTTTTGACAATGACTATTTTTGATCCTGTATTAAAAAATTCATGATTCTTGGGGAGGCAGAGAAAAATTCGCAACCTTGTAATTAACAAGGTCTAAATACAGTCAATTTTCACTTCCTTTCGTATGAAGAATATTTGTCATTAATGAAGTATTAGACAATTTCTTGGCATTATTTTTCATGCCATTCCCTTCATCATACTTTCTGCCCCACTCATTTGTTTTCTTTCAAGATGCAGTACACAACACAGTTAGCTCATGCAAAATGATTATTTGTGCAAGATTTTAAAAAATTGGAAGACAAAAACAGTTCTGAGATAATTCTATTTCTCTGTATATAATGAAAGGATCATTGTTAGCAGATTTTCATACAAACAGTTTCCAAACATGCTGAGCCACTACATAATTTTGAGTACTTTCTTTCCAAACTTCACAAACTATTTGTAAACTGTAGTGTGTTGAAATTGTGAAAGTATGTAACAGAACAGGTACAAGAAAGAATATAATAAGTGTACAGGTAGAGCTTTTGACTGAGCTATATTTGAAATATAATCAAAGATTCCTTTTTTAACTTCTATGTCTGAACAAAAGACACCAATAAATAAAATTTTGTTGAGGCTAAATTGGGAGCTTAAGTTACCTGAAATATTATTTGTAAATAAAATATGTACTTTTAAGACATGCCTTAAAAGACAAAAAAAACTAACCAATCGGAAGGATCGCAACACTGACAGACCCTGCACACCTTCCAACCCCAGCTCCAGAAGGGAAAGGGCCACAATGATGAAATCGAAGATGTTCCACCCTTCCTGGAAGTAGTACTTTGGGCTCATTGCAATCAACTTGAGTGTTGCTTCAATTGCAAATGTTGCTGTGAAGAACTGTATAATAGAAAAAATTTAAACATGTAGTTTAAAATGCAAACTTTAGTTCAAAGAAGCTGTGTTATGATACATATCATAATGTGCAAAAACCAAAATAATAAAACTATATATTTTATCCAGAATTAATTCCCTTTACATTTGTAATATAGTTCAAAACAATAATTACACATTTATTTCCCTTAAAAATTAAAATATTGCACTTTCAGCAGAAATTTATAACTAAATGACCTCAGTGCTTTAGAAGATTTATGTTTCATACTTACTTCATGTCCTGACATTTTGATACCCAATTCATTCTAAGTTAAAAAAACTGAAAAGTAATGAAAATGTCCTGACAAAATGGAAATATGATAAAATTTGAAATAGAAGACAAAACAGTTTTGATTGGTATTCAGTTGAAATGTTTATTATCAATAATGTGGTTAATGATTTCACTTACATAATTGCCACTTTTCAATGCCTTTTCCATTTCCTTGTTCATGTCATGATGATCCAGAGCCATAAACAAGGTGTTGACCACAATGCAAAGTGTGATGAAAAGTTCCACAAAAGGGTCAAACACCAGTAAAGACACGTATTCTTGAAACTTGAGCCACAGCCAACAGCAGTCCCATACGCAGAATATGTCGATGCCCCTCATACATACTTCTAGAACTTTTTCTTTGAGGGTTGGGCCCTCCTCATCGTCTTCTGTGGGGAAGTAGTAGATGGACACTGTGCAATGCTTTAGTAACTTGTCTTGCAAATGACCACTCATTTTGGGGAAAGAGATAGTACATCTACCAACAGCAGGCTGTCAATACTTGAAGTGATAATAACTTTCTGAAGACTGGAGGTTTAATAGCTCATCTGAACTCAGAAGCACAACAAAGACTTTACTCATAATTTTGGCAAACATGACAGTTAGTGTAGGAGTCTTCCTTTGCTATTGAAATTCCTGAGTCATGCCTCCAGATTCCTCAAGAAAGTGTATATCAGTCTGTGGATTCACTAAAACCTTCTCACATTCAAAAACATTAACAAAATAAATGAAAAATGGTGTGTAATGTTTTTATGTGAGTAAGTTTGTATGTGAACTTTAACTTATCAGTTTATGTCAAAATTTCTGGATCTATTGGCAAAGCAATTTATGTGAACAGAAAAAAAAAATTACATTGCCTTGCAAAAGCCTGCTAATGTGCAATAATATGATTTATAACTGTTAAAATGACTTAAACAAAATGTGCAATTAAATGTTAATTGCTGGGAATAGACAGTTTATAACTTCCAGCGCAAGCATGATTAGTGTAATTAAACCAATGGTTTGAAACAAAGGCAAAAAAAGTCATGCCTGACATCTTGCCATATTAATAGATAATAAACTAATTTAACTGTCAGAGAGAGCAGAAATGTTGATGGTGATAATCATTAGTGTGAATATGCTACTAAACTGTACAATCAACATGCAAAAGCAGTTTTTACCATAAATGCTACAAACTGCTTAGTGTTAATACAAATTAGCTTAGCATTTGTAGTTAAATGTGTCAATACTCAGTGTAGTAACTCTGCTTAAAAATTGAAAGATCAATATTCCTTTAAAATAAGAATTTCTTGTTCGCACCAAAGGTTATGACAATGAAATAAATGCATGTGATACCTACATTACACAAATAATTACCAAATTTATTACAGCAATTAAAGAAAATTGCAATTATTCACAAAAAGGTTTTTTTTTCTTAATCAAGTATTTTTTATTAGCAGTTTTTTTTATTTTTATGATAAATCTATATAAAAAGAAGGCTGTACAATAAATGTATGTCCAGAAATGTTGAAGGTATGTCCAGCCTGGCTGCCCTTAATCTATATCTTTTTCAGTTAATCAAAGGGAAACTCATAGGAAAGAAACAGTTTTTGAATTAAGTCTGCAAGCTGCATGCTGATCCAGTTTGTGGAAGACATTCATATCCTGTTAAAAGCAAGAAATGAGAACAACTTAAGAAATGAGATAGAGAAATTAGGTGCAATTTTGAAAATAAACTTAAAATTATTTCAACTGTTAGACTGTAATGATGTTTCCTGTGCAGCAACATATATCATTAATATGTAGTAGCAAAACTCATTCTTTCTTTCCACTCTTGATTGATCAACAAATCTCTGAATTTGATTCTAAACAATTTTTTTTTTCAGTTATAAAATAGTTGGAAGTAAAACCTCTTGAAAATTAAATTTTAAATGAAATCTGTATATATGAAATGCATTGATTTAAATACTTTCTGAAATAAAATAAAACATTTCATTATGGAATTACAGTCTATCAGCATCATTAAATTCAGTCAAATGCATAGTTATTTGAAGAAAGAACAGAAATATTAAAACATCTAAGAAAGCCTGTGAGCAATTATTTTTTTCTTCACAAATTGATCGAAATACACTCCCCATTTTTTTTCCATTCGCAAAAGCAGAATAGTTAAACAGAAATTAAAAATTTTGTTTTGATTGATGACTCAAAGCAAAAAATGCATCAGAAAATATTCAAATTGCATATTTTAAACATATAATCAAATCACATTAGGTTTGAAAAGGAGAACTTGTTTAGAAAATTAATATTTTGAATTAATTCGATTATTTTAAAAACAAAACATACTTAAACATATGGAAATATACTTTTTTATTATTATTAACATTATTACTCATAGGCATTGACAATTTCTTTTGAAGTGTTCTTTTCATACAAAGAAAAAAAGAGAAAGGAAGAAGATTCAGATAAAAAAGAATGGGGATGGTGAACAAAACTTATTACTTTCTTAAGATTATTTTGCACTAATAAAATATTCAATTTGGCATATCAATATTATTTAATTATATATTTTGTAAATGAGATTCTCACTAATACAATTTCATCAAAAATATTAAATGTACTATGCAAAATCATTCTAAAAATACATCGCTAGTTTTTGTGCCCTAACTTAATCTTTCAGAAAGTTTTATTAGCTACCAGGTTTGCCTACAAATATTTGCTTAGATGACACTAATGGACCACAATCAATAACTAATTGCTTAGAGGTGTGCCAACCTTGTGGTGCATTTGCAGTAAGTTCTAACTCATTGAAGTATTGCTGACAATATTTATAAATTATAGATTAAGAAAGGCATTGTAAAGGGTATTTCTAAGTATTTTGTTTGTTCTAATGATGTGCAAACTGGAAAATTGCTGTTTCAAAATATCAGCACTGATAACTACCACTTAGAATTCAATTATTATTAATGATGAAAACAATTTATATTTATTCACCATCCTTATTCAAAAGATATGTCTGCAAATCAGCCTGGTATTCTCCTAAGCTGAAATAGTTTCCCTTTGCTTTGTACATGTTTCAAACACCCTCAACTCATTGTTTTTACAATTCCTTTTGCAAAAAAATCCTGGTATACTTTCAAACAAATATTATTTAGAAGACTTGTAAGTAGTGCCATATTGCCAAAGCACTGTCAAGAATGTTTGAAACATTCAACTTTCCATACAGATAAACTTCTGACAAATCTTCAAATGTGATTGCCACAGGTATAGAATGATTTTCTTCTTGCCACATCCAAAGAAGTATGAGTTCAATGGAAGCAATTTTTCTCATAGAAATATATTTCTGTATTTTAAAAATATAATAATAATAATAATAATAATAATAATAATAATAATAATAATAATAATAATAATAATAATAATAATTGTTAGACTTAAGATTCATTCACAGATCTAGAAATTTGATGTGGGTAGAAGAACTTCATTTTTACATTTGTGTGCATCATTGATAAAAACTGATTTAGAACAGAGTCAATGACATGCAGAAAACGTTGAAGGTTAAATTGAGCTTAATGCCAAAAGTACACCAAATTTCATTCCATCATGCACAGTTTCAGTCGAACATTCTAGAAACTTCTGAAATCATGCTTTTTCTTTAATTCACATTTTTCTTTAGACAATCAATATGCAATCATTGATCATTGGATAAAATAAACCACATGAATGACCCAGTCCCATTTGTTTCACAAGGTAGGTTCTAAATAGAGGTTGAATTTTTCATTACTTTAACTCTTGACAATAGAAAGTTAATGATGCAAATTTTAAAAGAAATCTTAGTGTTTCAAATATTTCTAAATTCATTGAATTCAAAGAAGAGACAACAAATTAATTTTCTACAACGTCTATTTTTCTGATTTTTTAATGTAATAATATTTTGAATTCATGTTAAGTTTCCTTAAGCTTTCAGGAAACTTGTTAAAAAAATAAGAGAATGGGTATTAGGCCTATCTGGAGATAAATAATTATTTTGAAGTTACAAATTTTTTAATTCTTTTTCAAATATCATATGGTACAGAATACAAGTATGATTCTAAAGTGTAATATTATGAAAAACAAATGAATAAAAAATAAGAAGTAGAAAAGAAATGAAATATAGGTGTTGTGGTAGGATATCTTTGGCATTTTTAAAATAATTAAAGATGTTGTCATTGCCAACAATGTTTTTTAATTCAAAAGCAGCGTTCGATGGCTTAGCCATCATCATCAGTTGTCTGCTAGATGGAGGCCACAAAACGACTACTGTAGTCGTTTAGGGACCTCCTATCGGCTGCCCATCTCTCGCAGACAAAGAATTTCAGTGCTCTTTGTCATCTGTTTGTGCGCGGCAGTACACGCATTCCACCCGCAATCGGCGAGGAACTGTGTTAGGAGAAAGGAGATTTCTCCGTGCTTCCGTGCGGCTTATTTTCCCAGTTGTTCTGCCAGTGCTTTGTTGTGAGGGTTCTGACTTCTCTACGGGTCGGCATCTCAGTTCGGTCTTCGTCTGGTGGATGAGTTTCCTTTTCTGAGCAAGAAGACTAGCTACTACCAGTACTTCAGGTGCAGACACAGTTCTTTGGGAGCCAGCCATTCTCAGTGCTCCTTTCCTCTGTACATCGCGCAAGCGTTATTAATCGCGCAACTCTTGTTGAACGATGACCTTGCTTCCCCCTCTCCGGCACAATAAACAGTTGAAGGCAAAAGCTCACAGCGAGCGCTGATGACAACATTCCAAACACATCTTCACTGGTGCGAAATAGAAACTGTGTGCAAGGTCATCGTTCATACTACACGTACGGCTTTGTTCGGATAACATCGGTATCGACAGTCATGGGAATCAGCGTCGGAATCTCGTTTTCTTGTCCAAAGGAGGAGTTCCGTCTTTTCCGTGGCCAGGCCTGTGATCCTCTATCACATTTATGACCGTCTCATCACCTGGTTAAGCTTCTCCTGGAGTTGCCATCACGCGATCCTCGATGACGGCAGCAATGTCGTCTGCGTACTCAGTCAAGGCAGTGTCGGACACTTTCACGTGAAGTACGTCATCGAAGGAAACGTTCCACAAGCTTGGTTCTCGCCCGCCGTAACGTCTCTGTGGAGTTACAGACTAGTCCCCTCTCTCTAAAGTAGTCGCTGAGGATTCGTAGGCGCGCTACCTTGAACTGCTTCGCCAGAGCTACTCCGCCGAGTTGAAAGCCTGGTGTTGCTAACAATATTATTTTGCGGGAGTAGTGGTTTACCTGTCGCGTGTCTTCAACAGCTTCCACCGCAATTTTGGCTGCGTAGACCGCCCAGTCCTGAAACCGTATTGTCGGTCATAGCGAATCGCCATCAGCAGGCTTGGTTTGACCAACTTTTCAAGTAGCTTCCCGAGCGTGTCGAGCATGCAGAAGGGGGCTGTAGGACGATGGTAGATGTTGTCCACTCATACCCTTGTCACGAGGACCAACTGTTGCTTCTCCTAAGCGAGGGAAGATGCTCCCTCTTATGCAGATGTTATGCATGTTTAGCAGAATGTTCGGGAATTCTCACACCGGACTTCACTTCAGGACTTCTGCTGATATGCCATCAGACCCCTGATTTGGAGGCTGGGGGCTGTTTTTCCAAGTTCTAGTTCTTCGAAGAGATGTCTGTACTATCTTCGGCTTACTTGTCCGGAGGACTAAACGGGTTTCTGGAAACAATCCGTAATGAAACACATTGGATTGAATTATTTTACGTGGCGAGACTCAGGCCATGAGGCCTGCTCTTCCGTCTGAACACGCAAATTTCGCTACGCTCCTTTCACCAACTAGCAGAGAAAGGAGGTATTTCTTGGACGAGAAACGGGCAATTTGAATTTAGCTCAGAGGCGTCATTTAGGCGTCATTCTTGAGGATCTTTTACATGCAAGTAAACCTACGAACATGGGACAGCCGGCTTTACTTCCCCTCCGAAGGAAGGCGTACGAAGGATTTTTTCGCCCTTAAAATTCCACGGCTTCGATCGGGTTTGAATCCGCCAACTTGGGTACAACAGTCCGATACGCTAACCGGTTCACCATCGCCGCGCGCATCGGTCGTCGTCGAGGTTCCCCTCCGGCGGCCCTTCCCTGAGTTTTCGGGTCTCTATCCCACGGATCTCTGTTGCCTTTGCCGACGAAGGCCATTCAGCACGGACATTTTCTTTGGTTAGGTGAGAAAAAGAGGAGCACATTCAGGTTTCAGTCTCGCTCTCTGGGTCCGTCATCAGAGCTCGAGACAGTTTTTGCTTCCACCATCTCTTCCGTCCACCAATAGAGTGCCCGTCTGCCGTTCAGGGGTTGTCTTGCAGGGCAGTGATGAGTTGCAGGCCTCATGCAGAGCGAGCATCGTTTCTTTCACAAGCCGCTCAGCGCTGGTAGTGCATTGTCCTTGCTGCCCCGAGTTGCAATTTTTGATCAATTTTTGATTGTCTAACAGGATGACATTCCAGCTTGGTTTATAATAATAATAATAATAATAATAACAATAATAATAATAGAAAACAAGAATGATAAAGTTAATTGAAAGTTTTGCTGGAGTTGTAGAAGTACAATATTGTTTATTCAAAAGCTGCTTAAATACATTATTTTTCCCATCTACAAGAGAAAAAAATTAATGGAATGTGCTATTATCATGCAAAGAATTCTTGCAGATTAATTTTTAAACATGTGCAAAATTTATTTCAATTTTTTGCATAAGATATAGTTAGGTTAAGGTGAAAAAGTCTTATTTCTGGCTCAATTAATCATTATTCATTCATATATTTTTTTAAATTTATATGAATAAATACATTTACAAAAAATATAGATATTAATTCAAACTTTTGTTATGGTGTTTCAAAACATTTCTTTAGTGGCATTAACAAAATATTTAGCACAGATAGACCTGTTACCATAAAAAATAGTTTTTTAAAGAGAAAAGAAGGTCCGGGATCCCCACAACACTCAAGCAAATTTAATGAGTGCACATCATGCCTTGTCATCCATGCATTTGTAACTACAGAATTCATGCCATAATTTTTCTAACATAAACTCATCTCCATGTCAGAAATATGACCATGAGCTCTCTTTCCCCAAGAACAGAATGAATCACTGCAAGGAATGATCAAGAGGATACATATTATTTGCAAACAATTATAATAATGGTTTCCAATCATAATAGTGGTTCACTGAGAAGATTTAAAGATTCCTGTTCATGCAGGATCATCAATTTGTAAACTACATAACTCAACAGAATGTTACACATACTAAAATTGTGAATTTATTACCATCACTGAGTTACAACTTATAAAAATTTCAAGAAAATCAAAATAATAGGATGAAATTTCTGAATACTTTAACATACGTACGAGTATTTGTCAAATAACTACAAAGTTAAATTATATTGAGAAAGTGCAGACATCACGTGGGGAACATGAAAATCAACATCCACTCAGTGATGGTGTCAATGTGCTACCATAAACATAACAATAGTTTGACACCCAGTGACACCAAACACACATTTCAAATTACTTGGGTGTACTCTGGAAATACAGTGGTATATGCAAACAAGGGATTGTAAGACAAATGAATCAGTCGTCTCCTTGCCATCCCCCTATTCATGTTGATAATTTTGATCAAAGACCGTTTCATTATCAATTAGTGATCATTAGAAAGTGATCATGTTAATGGAACGTTCCCATAATAATAATAATAATAATAGTAATAAACATTTTTCTTTGTCAATCATACACGAAATTATGCATGAATACGAAGATAGGCATAGGCATAGGCATAGACAACTGTCATCATCCAGTGACTTGCTTAGAGATCGCGCCTATTTACAGCGAGCACCATGTGAAACACAAAAGAGCAAGGGGTCCATGTAATGCTCACCTCCATGCTCACTCGCTCGACTTGCTCGCCCCGCCGCCTGCTCAATGATGTCATTGAGAACCATCACATCTGTAAAATCAAAACAACAGTGTCTCGTTTAAAACATGTCCCAGTTATAATTACTTGTACTCATTGCATTACAAAAGATGGAGGAGCAATGCTATTGGAAGAAACATTGATAAGTACTAGTTCTCCAAAGAGTTCTAGTGGACTTCTAGTCCACAGTTCTACAAAGAACCATTGATACATGAGTTAGAATAGATGATCAACTGGTGAACAAATGGATCCTTTTAGCTCATAACCAGTTTAAAATTACTATCATATGACCCTATTTAATTTATTCATTAATGCAACTGGAAATGTAAGTGATTTAGAAATAAATTACAATACCTTAAAAAGTTTCCCAAGTCTATAGCAGACAAACAAAAGAAATATAAGATTCGATGTGACAGAGTGAGGGGAAGGGTTGTGGTGACAGAGTGAGGTAGGTAGAGAAAGAGACAGAGACAGAAAGACAGAGAGACAGAGAGACAGAGAGACAGAGAGGCAGAGAGACAGACAGAGACAGACAGATACAGAGAGAGTCAGATACAGAGAGAGACAGATACAGAGAGAGACAGATACAGAGAGAGACAGATACAGAGAGAGACGGATACAGAGAGAGACGGATACAGAGAGAGAGACGGATACAGAGAGAGACAGATACAGAGAGAGAGGCAGAGAGTTCAGGAGGGAGGGTGTGGGGCAAACGGGCTAAGACCCAATAGGAAAGACAAAAAAGGGAATGGAGTAAGGCGGAAGGATCGAAGGAGGATATACTTAGCGGGGGAGGGAGGAAGGAGAGGCAGAAGGCAAGAAAGAGACTAACCCTTCATGTCGACGACCGTTTGCGGCTGGGTCTCGATGAACGGGTTTTCGGGCTGCTTGATCTTAGCAGGGTCGTCGCCTTCCAGCGCGGTGTCCTGCGCAAACGAAAGTGTATTGAAGCCCATCCGACTCCAACACTCTGCACACTTTGAAGCCACGTCGTGCACACAACAACAGCGTTTGATGTAAGCGATAGCGAAAGCAATGGGGGAGTGGGCGCGGGGGGAGGTACTCACGAAGGGCGGGGGCTTGTGGTTGGCCTCGTAGGGCGCGGTGGGCGGCGGCTGCGGGCGGCCGCTGCGGGCGGCGCGCAGCCGGCTCTCCTTCGTCTGCGGGGGCGGCT